TGGCCTGCTGTGTTCATCCAGCCCTGCACCTTGTTGTCTCGGATTCTCCAGCATCTACAGTTCCTACTATCTCTAAAACAACTAGAGACCTACCTAGAGTTAGACGTGTACTGAAACCCATGACGATGGTAGCATCAGTTGAGTTACTGCCCTTGTCACAGCATTTTGAAAATACAGGATGCATACAGAGAGGTCAGTATCAGGAATTGTGGAAGAAGCAGTTCCAATGTTATTGAACAGCAAGAGGTTTGCAGGGCAAGGAGCTGAAGCACCTGTTAGTATGTTCCTGTATGCAGTCAAGCCTGTAGCTGACAATGTCTTCATGAGACAAAGGTTAGAAGAAATTACTGCAAATTTCAAGTCTATCCTTAAGGCTTTTGAAATATATTTCAACCAAAATCAGAACCACATAACTGAACGAGCACAATTTAACAAATATTCCAGAGACCAGGGGAATCCATTGAGTTGTTTCTTAGTGACTTGTACCAAATAACTGATGTGGAAATAAAATATTAAAAGATGAACTAATTCATGTTTGGTTCAGTAAAGGCATCTGTGAGGACAAAATGTCTGATATTTTACAATCAAAGGAGACTTGACTTTGGACAAGCAATTCAGGATGTGACATAGGCTGAGGTCAGAGTTAAAAATCAGGCCCTTACCCAAGGGGAAATACTGAGGCTTCAGTTGAATCAGTCACTTGAATAGGCCACAATATAGCTCCATCTACTCAAAAGGCCACACCTATGGGAAGAGAATGGGAAACTAGTACAGCAGCCATTTTAGGATGTTCACATTGTGGAGCAAAGCAATTCCACAGATGCCATGAATGGAGAGCAGTGTGTTTCTAATGCAAGAAGATTGGATGTTTGAAGTGGTTTTGCAGATTTAAATACATCACCTCAAAAACTGCATGCAATTGCCATGGAGAAAATTACTGAGAAGGGAAGAGAAGGGAAGAAATTATTGAAAAGCAGAAAATTAAATAAATTGCAAATGAAGAACAACCAAGGAAAAACTGCTTTCTTAAGTGAAGTCAAAGAAGGCAAATAGAGTCAGGACACTCACACGGGAAGTGAAAGGCTCAAGACAGGTATTACCTAAAATTCTATGCAGCACTTTTAACTGACAGGTTGCCTTGGTTTAAATTAGTAGTTGCCCAATCATCAACCATTAGACAATAAGGCCCTGGGGGCTCATTCCTTCAAGTATGGGGTCATTTCATTCCCACACTTATTCACAAGAGGCAAAGGATCAGACAATACTCTATGTCATAATGAATAAAGTCTTTTAAGTAGGAATGCAAGTATACAATTAAGTTTTCTGGAAAGAGTGACTACAGTATTATAAGAAGACAATGGAAAGGAATTTCGTCAGGAATTCCCATTCCCTCTTTCAAGGTCCAGGAAAGCTTAAGAAAGAATGTCACATCACATTTCTTTAGGAGGCCAATAATATACTCCCAAGAGGGTACTACGTCCATTGCTGGAGAAGTTTAAAGCACAGCTTGATAGTATAATATTATGAGTGGAGTAGCATCACTGACACAGCCAACAAGATGGTGTTCAGAGCTTGTAACAGAGCCCAAGTCAAACGGTGAGCTCAGGCCATGTGTAGAGTTGCACACATTGAATGTAGCAGTCCAGAGAGACAACCAGCTAATGTTTTTGGTAGTTGACAGTCTGAGAAAACTAGCCCATAGCATAATTTTCAAAGTTAGATGCTACCATCCACCTTTGACAAGTACCCTAAGCCTACAAGTCAAGGTTTTTAAATTATCTTTATCACATGTTTCAAGTAATTTTGCTTCAATAATCTACCCTTTAGAATGTCATTATTCCCTGAAATATTTCAAGTTGGGATGTCTCAAAACCTGGAAAGGAGGAAGTGAATAATTTATCGTATAAATGACATATTTCTATAGGACATGACAAAACGGAGCCCGATCACAGGGTTTGTGAAGTTCTAAATCCCTTGCAGAACGCAGGCCTTACATTGAATGAGAATTGTTAACTTTCAAGGACGAGAATTCAATTCCTGGGCTACGTCATCCAAAAGGAGGAAGCCATAAGACTATCTGGTCCCAGCTTTTCCCAATAACCCTGCACCTTGCTTTAGTTCAAATAATCATTTTGAATAAAAACCGAAAGAACTGCGTATGCTGTAAATCAGGAACAAAAACAGAAGTTGCTGGAAAAGCTCAGCAGGTCTGGGAGTCCGGCAATCATTTTGAATACCTTGATTCAATCTGTCTCCAGCACAACTCCAGGCATTCTCGGTCTTAACTGTTTGCAGTGTGGTAAATTTTTTTCTCACATTATGTTTTTTTTTTAGCAAATTACTTTACACCTATGCCATCTCATTTTTCATCCTCTTACAAGTAGGAACAGCTTCTCGTGATCTGCTCTGTTCAAACCTCCATAATTTTGATATACTTTTAGATACAGAAAACTTAATGGAAGGCAGATGTTCAAGGATGGTTGTCTGTGGAGAAAACTTACAACATTTAAAGGCAGAATGCCTAAAGAGGGATTTAATTGAAAAGAAAATGGAGATGGCAACAGTCGCAGGAAAAGAAGGAAGCAGAATAGCAGTGAATTTCATTGAGAAGTGAGCCAAAGCTTCTCTTATAGAATAGCAATTTATTGTCACATGTATTTACAAAACAAAACAGTGAAAACTTTTATAACTGGCCTTAATTAATGACAGAAGTCATAAATAAGAAGAAAAAAGAAGTAAAAGTTCATCACAGTTCAATTAACGGCTCTTGGGTTCAGGGTATGCTGGAAAACTGGGCCAAAACTGTCACACAGCACCAGGCCAAGACCGCCCAACCACTGCAGGACTAGAACTCCTCATCAGGACTCTGTGCTGCTGAAATACTCGGAAGCCACTGAAGAAGACTTCTACGCCCGGACAAGTCCTCCACGCTGGGACAAGATGGCCATGCCAGGCCGAGAATGGCCCTCCTGGACAAGACCGCCACACCCAGAGACCTCCGTGCCAGCACCAAGCCTATACCGCCATTCCAGGCTGCTGGAAGCTACCTCGTCGCTGGGCTTAGGCCATTCTGCCAATGTCATTAAAAGGTAAGGTAGCATAATAATTGGAAACATTAAAAAGAAACATAGAAAGAGAATAGACGAGCTCCTAGGCTGAGGAGCCCGCATGTTGTGCTGCTACTCCACCACCATCTTGGATATCTGGGAGGTGAGATGTATTTTTTGGGATAAGAGACAAGAAACTAGCTCATGAAATATAAAAAAGGAATAACAATGATCATTAGGGTGACCCCCCTCTAACCCCAAATGTGACCCTCCAATATCAGAAGTATTTAATATTCTAGCAAAGGCAACAAGAGCATCTAAATGGTTAGTGAAAGAACACCTCCACTCATCTGAATGATCACATATATGCCCTTTGGAGTATCACACTGAACAATAATTTTGCAATTACAATTTTCCTATAATTTGGATCCCTCCAATTCACCTCACCTTCCATCTAGCCTTGCAGACTTATTTTGTAAAAGTTATCTTTGTTTTGATGCTGAACTAGCTGCATAGAGGCTGATATCCTGTCACTAAGTCGCCCATTATTTACACATGCACAGTACATGGACTCTGACCAGCTAGCTCAGAGCCAGTCCCTAGAGTGAGGAGACTTTGAGATTCCTGTTCATATCTGTCAACCAGGACTCCCTGATTGGTCCAGGTTAACAGCTCCAGTCAGGGATCTCATACTCAATGAGGTCCACCTAACCCACGTTCCAATCACTACAGATGCCTTCTCTGAGCTATTTCTACCTTCCCCTGCAATATGTGAATGATGACAGTAAGTAGCAGGAAGGATTTGGAGACTATACAGAAAATTAAAACTATTTATACTTCTGCCAGGAAAACATAGTTAATAAAAGTGGCGTAGTCACAAACAGACTTAGATGACCATGTGGAGGGGTGATCTGATCAGTCCATTTAAAATAATAAATGGATTTGAGAAAGTAGATACAAAGAAACAATATCCTTTGATGGAGAATTGAGAGGACATGATCTTAAAATTATAGCTTCGCAATTTAGGAATGTATTCAGGAAGCATTTCTTCACACCAAAGGTAAGAAAAATCTGGAGCTCTCTATCTTAAAAGACTATGGACATTGGGTCGGTTAGAGCTTTTGAGTGTGATGATTTACATGAAGTAAGGGTTATTAAGCTACATGAATTAAACACAGGTAAATGGGGTTGAGGCAAGCTCATCCATGAACTAACCGAATGGTCGACCAGGCTGGAGGAACTGAATTGGTCTACTCCTGTACCTTCCTTGGAAGGCTATTAGTTGTATTTATTGCTTTTGCCTGAGGCAACCTTTAGGAATGCAGCTAAGGGACAATTGAAAATTATATATCTCAGACATGCTGCTCAATTGTACAAGATTAAAAATAGTCTTTGTCTATTCCAATTACAGGCAGACTGCAGTTCTTTCCAAACACAGAATCAAGTATTACCTACTAACTTGAGTTTCTAAAGGATGTTCCTTGAACAAACTGGAAATAAGGTGGCAACTTTGGTCTAATTAATTTTTTTTTGGTTCTAGGGAATAAAAAAATTGCTGAATTGACTCCAAAACAATAAAGTACAATCTCAGAGCCAAGCTCCTCTTGTTCAAAGTCAATCTTTCAATTAATCCTGAGTTGCTGTGACATCATTCTCCTTACTCGCAAAACAAGCAGTGATGGAAGTATTATTGAAGTGGACAATCACTCAGAAAATTACCTTAAGCCAACACAGTAAATATAATGCTGACACTTTTTGGAGTTTTATTTTGAGACCCAGGCCAACATAGTAAATATAATGTTGATACCTTTTGGAATTTTTCTTTGAGAGCCACAGATCATCTTTACCTGGCACTAGCCATACCTCCCTGCCATTATAAAACATTGATCTTTACAGTTTCATGTTAAATGTTAAAGTAGAAGCACACTTTTAAAGAATGAAAGATAAACTATGTTTAAAAAGCTGATATGGTTCCTCTGTTTTCTGTGCTTTAAAACATGTCAGTTTTTGTTTAAATGGAACTTAAACAAGTTCAACGTCTTGAAATAAGCTAAAATATTACGATATGTAACTAAGAAGTGTTGTATCTTTTAAAGGGATTCTGCAGGTTATGTTATTGAATTGATGATTGTAATGATTCAGAGAAATTTTGGGCTGGACCTTCAGGGTTAAGAGTCTTACGGCTGGAACATTTTGGATTCTAATTCTAATCTGTACTGTATCAGCATTGGTGATGCAACATGATTTTTAAAGGCAAAGGTTTGAATGCAGACCAGTTGGTGGTATTAAAAGCAGCCTGGACTTGGGACTTCACCATGGAATTCAGTCTAGCCTCAGGATCAGGACTCTAGAGGTGAAATTCAGCCAAATGTTTCAGGCCAATGACTGTGATGTAAGGTGGGTGACTTATATATAAATATCTCGAGTTGTGGGTTTAGTCTGTGTCTATGATTGTAATTATTTCTGCAGCCATGGTGTTTATTTTTTAAACATAGTTTGCTTGTGAGACTTCCTGGAGAGTAATGGGATTTTCTTTTCCTTGACTGAGTTTTACAAGCAAATAAACTAAATAGTTGTGTGTTAGGTTTTAGATAGAATGATCCGGAACTTATTTTTCTTTGGCTTAAGAAAACAACCAAAAAAGCCCTTTCATTTCACATTTTGCTGAAATCTTAGCTGAGGCTGGATGTGAAAAACAGTTGCTCCTAAAGAATGGAGATAGTTTAGAACTGTTAAGAAATAGATTACCTCTGTGTAAGGAGTGCAGTTTTGAAATGCTAGACCAGAAGTGTTTGGTTAAAACTCTAAATGGGTTATTGGAAGCTGGAGAAATAAGCCTAATTATGTGAAGATTGAAGAAAAAGACTGGCAGATTATGAAGACAGGAATTGACGTCACAGTTACATTAAGGCTATATATGTGATAAAGAGGAAAATTCTTTCTGGTTTGAGTATTGTGATCATGAATTTACTGCCTATTTTGTGGGAAAAATATTGCCTGAGATGTTTATCATGCTGCAAAGAGAAAACCTGAAGCAAAAGCTGAATTTTTTTTAATGTTTGTATCAAGTTACTGAATAAGATCCATATTTTCACCATGACATTGAGCCTCTCCATCATGGTGTAAATGACACCAAACATCCAGAATTCTATGTCGGGCCCTCAAATCTGGCATTTGTCATTTTCATTGGGTTGGGATTGGGAGGGTGGTTTGTAGGTCATGTGAGTATGTGTTTCACAGAGGCAGCTGGCCATTCAAATGATCAATTGCCTCTGATATGATGCGGAAATTAAACCGGGTGAAAGCAGGCATGTTCTTAGTGCACTTGGTTTGAATAGCCAGGGTACACCTTTGGAAAGCTAAGGGATATGTGTGGATATGGTCCTAGGACAAGTTGGAAAATATCAAGATCTGTAACATCTGTCAAAATATTTTTCTGAAGGAGAACACTCAGTAGGCTGTAGTGTTCCTGGATACAGAACTTTAAGTAGTAGAACTTTAAGTAATAGATCCAAGTTCAGCTCTTGGTGGAACCTCAAATTGTCTTGTTCCAACTGTCATTTAGTGCAGTATGGTAGCACAGCAGTTAGCTCTGCTGTTTCACAGGACCAGGCCTCCTTGAGCGACTACCTGTGTTGAGCTTGCATGTTCACCCTGTGTCTGCGTAGGTTTCCACTGGGTGATGCAGTTTCCTTCCACAGTCCAAAGATGTGCTGGTTAGGTGGATGCTAAAAATTACCCTATAGTGATCAAAGTAGGTACTATGCATTCACATTTTGACTGGCAGTGGTAAAATCTCCATGTGGGGTTAATGAGGATGAAGCGGGGGCGGGTGTGCCTGGGTGGGATGCACTTCGGAGTGTCAGTGGGTCAAATGACCTCTTTCTGCACTGTAGGGATTCTATCAACTTTATTTTTTATCTCCTCTCTCTATGGCTATTTAGGTACTAAGTCAACTGGCATAGTAAAGGCAGGGGAAATGGTGGTAGGTGGAAGTAGGCACAAAGATGGCATACTATGAAGGCCTATGTGTAGAGTTCATTAGGTAGCATGGATGGGGAATGAATTGTGTGCAGGACTGAGTGGGAGCGAGGAAGACATGAGGGCTGGAAGAATATATTATACTTTATTCTTTTATTTTAATCTTTTTACACAATGCTTGAACCCTGAAATAGGCTTTCCAACCACCCCCAAATTGAAAGTGGGAAGTGTGAACAACCATTTTTAAAAGCCAAGTTCATGTAACTGGAAATTCTCCCACCTCTACGCGCTTGACCTAGGAATGAAAGTCGGGGTTCACAGTGCTCTCTGATTCACCTGGGGACATACAACAATCTGTGTCTGCAAGAGTCTCTCCTGCTTTAGGAGATTATGAAACATCAGCCAGTCAAGCTGCATTTATTCAATTCATTATTCAGTTATTTACTTGCACTTATTTCATACTTTATTTCAAGACCTTATTCAAAGCACTTCACAAACAATAAAGTAGCTGCTATGCATTCACATTATGACTAGAAACTTATGCCATATAAAAGAAAGGAAGAAATAGCTACGTACATGAAATATTTGAAATAATGGACTTAATAAAACAAAGTTTACAAAAAAATTAGATTTTTAAAACAAAGTCTCCTTTTGGGTTCCCTTCACACTGTTTCCACGTAAGGGTAATGGGGGTACTTCTCTGCTAATTTTTCCTATCGTCCCTAGATAGAACTCAAGATCAAGAACTTTCAATAAGTCATCTCCACTTTGTCTATGACTCCAGGACTCCCTCTACAAATGTTTCAGCTAAGAATGGAATAGGCATGAAGCATTGTGTTGAATTCATTGTTCACATTGTGAAAGAGTTTAATAGCTTATTTGAAAGAAAAACAGAAAATTTTGAAAACGCTTAGGTCTGGCAACATCTTTGGAGAGTGAAACAAATTCAAAATTTCAGGCCAATGATCTTTCATCAGGACTTAGCAAGTTAACCAACTGAGTCCGAGGTTTGCAGGTGCAGATCCTACTCCAGGATTTGAGTGTATAATTGAAGATAACATTTCAGTACTGGTCTGACAGCATTCTGAGCTGACAGAGATGCAAAGTTTCAGATAGGATTTTAAACAGATGTTTTATTTGACTTTTCAGGCAAAAAAAAGACAGAATTTGAAAGATGAATCAAGAGATCTCCTGTTAAAAAGAAAAGTAGTTAAAATTACATTTTTTACAACTCTGAACATGAGTTCTAATTTGTTTTGAAACAGATCAACAGAATTGGGGTTCAGAACTTCAGATCCCTACTGCCAACTTTGAAGAGGTGCTGGACAACGATGAAGTTGCCTATCAATGGCTGAAAACTCTCCGTAGAATAGGAGTTATGCGACTGAAGCATGCTCCAACAGAAAAAGGACAAGTGGCTAAACTGGGAGAAAGGATTGGCTACCTGAGGTTGACATTTTATGGGTAGGTAAAAGAAATAATTCAAATCATTATAACATGTTACAACAAAATGCAACTTTGAAAAATCAAGCGCTGCATATATTTAGCTATGCCGGACATGTTGCTCTTTGAACTAGTGAGGAAGAAAATTTGAAGCTGAATGGCACCGAGAATCTTTGAGTTAAGGAAATTCTGCCTGATGATAGGTCTCTGAATTTTTGAGCTGCAGCTAGTTACAAAACTGCAAGTGCAAAACCTGGGAACTGAAAGCATCCATCTCTCCCTCTCTCTCCCTCCAAATGGGGAATAGGATAGAAAAACCAAGGAAGCTTAAAAGAATTTTTTTTTTAACAAGATCTGGGTCCTATGTTTCAAAGTAAAGAACAACCATTGTTTCAGACAGCAGCATGGCATCCATGCTAAACATCAAGAGGAACTACATGAGATAACTTAACCCACCCTTGGCATCTAGACTTTTGATTTTCAGGATGTCATTTACCCAGAGAGTAGAAAAGAGTCAACCATCTGGAATCACATGTAGGCCAGACCAGGTAACGATATCAGATTTCCTTCCCTAAATAATATTAGTGAACCAGATGGGTTTTTCCAACAATCAACAATGGCTTCATGGTCATCATTAGAACCTTAACTCCAGATATTTTATTGAATTCAAATTTTACCATCTGCCATGGTGAGATTTGAATCCAGGTCCCCAGAACTTTAGCTAAGTTTGTGGATTACTACTCTAGCAATAATACCACTAGGCCATTGCGTCAAGGGTCGAGCTTTTGCTCCGAGGTGGACTCTTCAGCTGCATTAATTAACCAGGGCCTCAGTGAGGGAAGTAGGATCAATAGAAAATTAGCATCAGAGTTGCATTTTCATATAGATGGATGTTTCCTAAAGAAGAATTCCAAAATTGTGGCAGCACATGTGGAAATGACTAGACATTGTCTTGATTGCAGAGAAGCCAGGAGGGGTAGTGAAATTCAAATCGATGTCAAGGGAAGTGAGTGGAGCAGTTTGAATGAAGAATGAGGGAGGACATCTCAGTCAGAAAATTAGTATCAGAGTCTCAAAGGATGCTTGACAAATGATGAGGTGTATTTTTTTAAAAAGAGGTGTATATGTTGAAAGACAAAGGGCAAAAAAAGAATCCAAGTATTTTAATAAGATCATGTCACCACCACAGTAAATTGGACTGTATAGCCAAGCCAACAAAATAGTAGAAAACAGGAACTACAGCCTAGCAGTCGTACATTAGTCCATGTTAGAAAGACAACCAAATCATTCGTAGTGAAGGTGTGAATGGTAAGGGCGTTATTCGCAAGTGAGAAAATATTTTCGAAAGTACATGCATGATGTCAATGGTTATTTATCTGTTGCTAGGTCAAAGGTACATCAGTAGAAGAGGTGAGAGTGACGATGAAGAAAATGGGAAGATTAACTTCTCAGAAACAGGCAGGGCACGTGGAAATCCTTGATTCATTGAGCCAGCAATGGGTCCTATGTAAGGCTTGAAAAGACTACTGAAAGGGACTGTGGGCTCATTCAAAAGGGATTTAATTCTCAGACAATGTCAAGTACTTTCGAAATGCCTTCTCATTCACCGGAATATTCTTCCTATTAGAAATAATACAGAGTGAATAGGTGCGAGTTGTTTTTGAAGTAAACTAGTCTTTTATACTGAATAAAAATGATGGATTCTAGCAAATGAATGTTTTAAAAGAGTCATGGGCCACTCCAGTTTAGAATATGTTCAACAAAAACAAGTTCTATTTGTACATGAAGTCTGTGACTTCATCACCTCTTCCCTGAACACACTAATTTCTGTACCACTACATTTCCAGAAGAAGAAGCAGTTTTGTTCAACCTGGTTTCTATTCAGTTGTAGTCCCTAGTGGTTACTTTGTCCCATGCATGCTCAATTATGAATATAGTGATGAAAACCTTGGAATGTGTTAATGCTGTTATTCACGAAAGAGTTGATTTGCCTTCTGACTTCAATATGCCTTTTGTTGTTTTGAATAAAGATTGCTTTTAATTGAATTGCAGTAATGTTATAGGTCAAGTAATGGTCTTAAGCTACAAATGCTTAAGTGTGTACACAGTCCCAGATAGAAATCACACAGTTAAAATTTGAAAAGAAAGTCCTTTTCCATGAATTACTCCTTGGCTTGCCACATGATCTCTCCTCTCTAGCCATGCCATGGTGTCATTAGTTAGACTTACACTTACATTTTCAAGTTTCTTTTATAATTTCTTGCATGGCAGTTACTAGCCCTTTGACATTCAATGGCATCACCATATTAAATCCCCCATTATCAACATCATGGGTTTATCATTGACCAGAAACTGAACTGAAAAAGCCATATAAATACTGTGGCAACAACAGCAGGTCAGAAACTAGAAATCCTGCAGCTGATAACTCACATCCTGACTCCCCAAAGCCTGACTACTATCGATTAGTAACAAGTCAAGACTGTGATGGACTATTCCCCACTTACCTGGATGAGTGCATCTCTAACAAAATTCAAGCTTTACACCATCCATAAAACAGCTGCTTGATTGGAACAATGTCTACAAACATTCAGTCACTCCATTACCAATACTCAGTAACAGCATTGTGTACCAGCTACAAGTTGCACTGCAGAAATTCACAAAGGCCCCTTAGGGAGCACATTCCAAATCCATGACCACCACCATGTAGAAGGACAAGGACAGCAGTTGAATGGGAACACCATCAATTCTAAGTTTCCTTACAAGCTACTCATCATCCTGATTTGGAAATATATTGCCTGTATCGCCAAGTCAAAATTCTGGAACTTCCTCCCTAATGGCATTATGGTGTAACTACACCACATGGACTGTAGCAGTTCATGAAGGCAGCTTACTATTACCCTCTCAAAGGCAAAAGGCAATAAATGCTGGCCTAGCTAATAAACTCATTTTCCACAAATGATTTTTTTTAAAAACAAGCTACTAAAGTGCAACTTAATAAATTCACAATGAAGAAAACCAGGCATCACAAACCTGAGTAAACAAGACAATCAACTATGTATCTCCTGCACCAACTAACAGATTGAACGATTGTGAAATTAATGATGCAAGGACTGAGAAGGAAGTGTTACTTGGAGTGGGTTCAAAAAGAGAATTGAAGAGAAGGGAAAAAGATTAGATTAAAGAATGGAAGAAAAGAAACAAAGAAAATGTGAAAAAGTGAACATGTAAAATCTAATTACAATTAAAACTGGAGGAAAATTATTCTCTGCACTTCTAATTGCTTGCTGTGACAACAATATTTATTGTACATCTGTTCCTCATCCAAGCTTAGCTATTAATAACCATAATTACCATGCATTTCAATGCTATTTGGATAATGAAATCTGGATTAGTATCACACCACCTAGAACATTTTTCCCCTGTTCTCCTGTCGACCTACTACCTGTATTCTGTATAGGGCATCAATTCCACCAACTGCGTTAGAATTTATTAAAATAAATAGTGATATGGTAAAGCTACTTATAGGTTGATATCCTTAAATAGGAACTCCTTAAAAATGACTATGTACTCATATTTTATAGGTGATCAGGCATCGGGTCCCCTTTATGAAGAGAAAAAATGTTATAAACAGATCCCAGGCTTTCATTAGGTGGCTAGGTGACTGAAATTCTGAGAAACTGTTAAAAATGTTATTTAAAGAATTGCATTAATACAAACATAAAACTGTGATAAAACTGTTGCCTGTATACTGGAGTGATCTTTTCAGTATTTCATGACTAAAGAGCAATTCATTGCTATGTTGACGAGTAAATAAAACTTGTTTACTGCAGCAACCATGAAAAGATCATATCCTGATAGCAGCAGTTATTACTTTGGAAAACATATTTGGTCCAAGTTTAAATAAAATTATCCTTAATCTGTTAAAGCAAACATTTCTGACTGTGCATAGTTACTAGTTTTAATTATAGAAGATATTACTGTCAGATATATAGGAGAAATATATATCTAGAGATTGTATTCTCTATTCATTAGACATTATGGAACAAATCTGATGAATATAGAGGCCCACAAGTCATCCTAAACTTACTGCACTTTCAG